ACTGGGTCTGGTGTGCTTGGGCCACGAAACCTATGCTGAAAGCTGGTCACTGCTGGTGTGATTCATTCTTGGATCTACCTTTTCAGGGGTTACTCTACCTGGTTCTTCAAAGTGACCACGACTAGGCCTGGAAACGGCCACTTAGTGGCGCCAAAAAGATCAATTTGGAGAACCGGGTGTGCCCATTTTGCCGTCCCTACGCCACAAATGAGAGAGTATGTGGAACTGATGAGTTCCCTTCAGTTTGGCCCCTGCTTGAGAAACCGCGAGTCAAAGGACTGACATCAAAAGGCGGTTCATCATAAGGCCGTGGGTCATGGCACCAGGAAACCGTTGAGCTATTTGGTGCCGGTCTTTTGCTTGCATGGACCGAACACGGGCGAACACGGTTTTTCACGACCCAGATCGGACAGACCTGCCACAGGTGGGTCTTGTGGGTCTCCGAGCCGCTGCAGAATCATCAGCTTGGATGTTCGGAACTGTTCTGTGGGGGTGAGCATGAGTGAGCGCTGAACGAAGACCCTCTCAGCAGTGGTGCTGATGGCGGTTTTCCTTGCTGCTGAGGATCAATGCACCGCCATGCACCGTCCCACATCCATCCATAGTATGGATCGAGTGGATGAAGGAGGTGAAGAGCATCTAGAGATATATAGAGTCTACTATCTCCAAAACATCATCTTGGATGACAGCCGTGTGGCAACCATGCTACCGATATCTATCTACAACCATCCTGGAGTAGATAGATAGAATAGGAACCAATCCAAAAACACATGATCCCTTTCCCGGTGTCTTTTTTGCATTTTCCCATGTTCTATCAACTCCAGGAAAACAATATCCTTTAGCTCGACGTGTCCGCCCGTCAGTGATGTGGTCAATCCCCTCGACTCGGCTGCCCCGCCGACAAAAGCCTCTTGACCAAGTGCTCGCACTCTTGGGCCTCGCCGAACCCGGACGGAGCGGGGGGTCTGGTGCACACGAAGTTGGTCTGGGGCAAATGGCATAAGATCAAATCAGCCTACGGCCACGCGGCCACCAGGGAAGGAAATTCGCTGGGGAATCAGGGAGATGTTCACCTGCTCGATGTTCACCTGGAACCTGGGCGGTTTTCTGGAAGCATCTTCACACACATTTTGGGGTGGGTGGAGCGGCCCAGGGGAATCTAGACCACTTGAACAACAGCTGGGCGCCCCAGCATTGTCCAAGCAGTAGACCATGATCTGACCTGACAGCCACTATCAGACTGAACAAATGCTCCTACCTCTAAAGAATCGTCAGGAAAGCACGTTGCAAAGCCTATGCCAAGCTTGTCAGAAGGAATCGAGTTTGCGCCTCTTGACATGCTAAAGTATCTGCGGTCCATTGTGGGCTTGCAATGGTATCATGTGTAGGCAAAACGGCCTGATGTTCACACCCGCTAAATTACAAGGTTCTCTAGGTGTGGAAGTACACCGGAAAATGTGGCACACCTGAAAGGGTTTCTCATGCACTATAAAGGTCAAAAGGTCAGCGGTATACCCACCTGGCAGTTGTGTGATGAATTTCACGAAGCCCCTTCTATCTGTCGAAGTACAACGCAAGACTTTGTCTTCTTGTGGGCCACAGAGATAGAAATATACATATTATATAAACTATTATAAATTCAGTGGGCAGCAGGTTGATCATGGGTGAAGTCTGCAACTACTAGCTACAGCCACATCCCTCATACCCTTCTCAGGGCCAGCGACAGCTTGGGTGACAGCCCCAGCTCAGCGGGAGACGGCTCATGCGGCTTGAAACCAAGAAGCCCATCATGTAAACTCTTGAATAAATTTCACTCCCCATATGAAGAGGATGTCCAATTCAATTCGGGGGGTTGACTCGTTGACTAATCAAGAGTTTACATGATTTCGTGTGATTCATCATCAGCATGAAGGTAGCATGAAGTTCAGAGTCTATGCAATATTATAATCGTTAATTTCTAACAACTGATTATTTGATTGAGGCCTTTTGCCGAGACATGGATCGCCTTTTTGCGATCCTTGCAGGTGACCCCGACAGCTTTCGACCCCGACAGACAGAGGCGCGGCTGCAGTTGGCCTAGCGCGTCAGTGGCACAAGACTTGGCACGCACAAGGAGGTCAAATGGTGTGAATCACGGTGACCGAAAAAGACTGAAGACGGTCCCGGTCAGCAGAATGACCGGGATTTTCACCACTCCTGGCAAATGCCGGAGAGCCAAGACTAGGTGGCTTTCAAGGATGCATAATATCTGTGTGTATATACATATATGTGCGTATACTTTAATTAATAATCAACATTGACTAAATCTGTCTCTGCAATATGCGCAAAGATACGAGCAAACCTAGTCATTGAACATCTCTCTCCATAAACCTGTATACACTATTCAGGCACCGTCGTTCTCTCGCATGAGACCCAAAAGAACCTAAAAGGATCTAAAAGGGATCATTGGACCGTCACAGTTCCCCAACAGCACACTTCATCAGCGAGCGAACCTCGCACATGCGAGCGCATCTTTTTGAAACTCACCGATGTTCCAAATGTTCGAACTCGAACCGTTTGAGTTCTGTGACTCACCTTCGTCGTGCCGTGCGGCAGGGGCAAGAACATGCCCTGCAAACAGGACGTAAAATTCACATGAGCTGTCGATGGACCAACATGGATCAAATACCAGTGGTTTGCCTCATAGAAAAATGATGAAAATGTGGACCTATCTGGACTGGGTCAGAGCTGGAAACTGCTGGTAAGGCATGACTTACCTTCAGAACTTCAGACAAACGCATCCACCTGGTCCTTTTTTTAACGCGTTTCTTTAATAGGAGCCATAGTCATCCCCATCATCAAGATAGAGTTCCATGTTGTCCAGCTATCTATATAGGTCAATAATTCAAGAAAGAGACTCGTTGGACTCCCCTGACCGATCCGTACCCATCCGTGGCAGAAGAATGGTGGCCTGGGGAATACGCGACTGTGATCTCGTTTTGTTTGAAACTGAAAGATCTAAAAGCGTTTCCAAATTGTGTTGATGCAATTAGGCGTCCTGCCATCCGCCAAATCAAGATAAATGGAAGAGTCTGGTAGAGAGGATGCTTCTGTGACATCCTTTTTGTTAAAGCCCATGATGGTAGACACCTGTGCACCTGCCACACCAGGACTACTCGGTACACTGCCCACCGCGAGGTTCGGCAGCCGTGGAGCTTCCGGCTTGGCCGGGGCCGCCGCTCGCGCAAAGCAATTCACCAGAAGCTAGGCTTCCCAACTGCCAGGAGTGCACCAATAGGTCTTTGTTTGAAACATATCCTTGAGTGCTCAACACTGTTGAGTAGTGATGGATGGGGGCGAAATAGCAACTTCAAAGTTCTTGTGGTGCCCAGCTTCATTGTTCCGTCACACCATCAGGCGACAACAAATGCAAGGACTCTTGGATCCTCGAGCCTCTTGACTAGTGATCTACCTGTTGGTACACATAGCCTTGTCCATGGAGCCTAGGGCTTTAGGGGGACAGATTCAGTCTGATTCCGCTTGATGTTTTGAGCACAAATTAGTTTTTCATCTTTCTTGGCTGCGTTCTTTATCGTTGGGTCCCAATGTCATCATTCGCCCGGTTTCAGCGGATCCAAACAAACAGTTCGATGAATTGAAGGGACGGCGGCCACTGTCTTAGGGACGCCGAACCCTCAGTGTGTGAGATTTGCACCTGGCATCTTCCTCATGCGATCTGAGCACATTCTTGTGAGTCAAGGTGATGACACAAAAGACCCATGCGGTAACAAAACGCCAGCTTGGTTGGCTTCAACTGCTGGATCAATTGATATGTGACTTATTTGCACGTTTATTAGTAAATTAAAAATCATTTCAACCAGTCAGTTTAATGTTTGGCTTGTCTTCCCTGGTCCTATGGACTCATGGCAAGGCATCGGATGCAACAAGCGAACGAACCATCCGTGACAAGGTCCCGACTGTTAAGTTGCTAATCCGTCCAACACCACCCGTAGAGGAAGGCTTCGCGCATGGATGTGGGAGGCCGTGTTTGACGCGTCGCCACAGCCGAACGTACAAGCTGATCTGTGTTGTCCAAACCGGTGCAATGGAAGAATCCGATGCAGGTGCTTGGTGTGAGAAGCTCACAAAGCCTGGAGGTCTGCCACGGTCTGCGTTGCTCTGCTTGATCTTTGCTGCTTTCCAAACACTCCCAAGTATGGCATATTTGCTTACATTGGGGTGGCTTCGGAGGTCAATGTGCATGGCATGTATGGCTGTGGGTCAAAACCAAGATACCTTTGGTTGACCTATCTGGAGTACGTCGTTCGCTACATGGTGCGCGCAGTCGTCTTCAGGGCCACCAGCGGCTGACCGACCCGAATGGTCGCGGCTGAGACCCAACAAGAACATACAACAACCATTGTCGCATGGGCCACGGGCCATGAACCTTTGGCAAAAAAGCTAGTTCCAACCAGGCCTTTTCTTGGGAAATGTGTTCCTCTTGCATGCACACAGACACTGGACACACACGCTTACGAAGTATGCTACTTAGTCAGGCCGCCCAGAACATTGGGTTGTGACATGGAGTGTGCAATGACCATTTCACCTGATGTACATGTGCGAGCAAAACCAGCTTTGAGACAACCCATTACAGTATATTACAGTATCTTCCAGCTTCCTGCGTGGTTCCATTACAGTATCATGACCTTCCGAGCCAGGTAGTCCAAGTTTGTCTTGGGCATTCTGGTGGGGGCGTCTACAACTTTACTTAGCACTCTTCTCCCAGATGTTTCAGGGTATGTCCAGCCATCTGTGCTCAGCCGGTGGCTGAACACAGAAAAGGCACAAAGCAAATCACAGCCCAAACCGGGGCGATCTACCAGGCTACCATGCTCGGTGCCTTAGGTGCCTTCAAGGTCACTGTCTTCAACCCAAACCTCCCAAACCGATCGGCGATGGCACGGCCGGACAAACCTCCCATGCTTCGTGCGTTTGACGCTTTCCACACATCGTGGTGCATCTCATGCTGCAAGAGCTTCTGCTTCCCCCTCAGCAGGTTTCTCCGCTGGCGCATCTGCCGGCGCAGCTTCAGCTGGCACCGCCTCTTCGACTGGCACCGCCTCACCTGGGGCTGCTTCAGCTGCCGGTGCCGCCTCTGCTGCTGGCTCCGCTGGTGCCTCGGCTGCTGGTGCCTCGGCTGCTGGCGCTGCGTCCGTAGCAGCGGCAGCTGCCGGGGTCGCCGCTGGTGTGGCCGCCGGCGGAGCCGCTGGCGGCACTGGCATGGATCCATCCAGGGAGAAAACCTCAGGCTGGGGATGGTTATGAATTTCCCATCTGAGATCCGTCTAAGGGGACTCCATCCGGGCTCCCCTCCTGCGGCACTCCAAGAATGGCCATTCTTCGGCACCATTCTTAGGTAAATGAGCAACCTGGGACTGTCCAAACCGTCCAGAATCCAAACCTGCAAGCCCGCTCCAGAAAAGGCCGCCAGTTTTTGCAGCGCTCAAGACCCGCCACCTGGCAGCCCATGTTGTAACCATGCGACTTGTAGCCCCTTGAAGCCGCAGCAAGCCAGGTGGGTTTCCGTTTTGTTGAAGCGCGCCTCGGCTGAGACAGCGGTGACAGCGGATCGGGATCGACCAAATGCATCCAAAGGAGGAAAGCATGAGAGCCGCCAGGAGCCATGTCATAGACAAAAGGTGGTTTCTGGTCGGATTAGTATAGGACCTGGATGCATATGTGCCTATCTTGTGCGAATTGTTTCAAGTAAACGAGTTGAAAGAGAGAGAGAGAGAGAGCAAGAGAGGATGAGAGCAAGAGAGAAAGAGACGAAAAAAAGAAAGAAAGAAAGAAAGAAAACGGGCTCGTGTTCCCGCGCCTGACTGATGCTGGGTAAGTCATCCTTGTTCTCGCCCCTCTTCAGCTCCTTCCTCAGGGATTTGAACGGATGGGTTTCGAGGATATGGTTGTTGAGTCGTGGTTGACAACCCATGGGGTGCTGGAGGCACGACGGGGAAGGCAAACTCTTTTGCGGACCAAACCACCGTGAGACCACCCGACATCACCCGACCACTCTGAGGTGTTCAGATTGTTGAAGACTGGGTGCCATCGTTCGACCAACTGACTGGTGCTTAATTAGTAGGGAATGAGAGAATGGCCTCTCACTATAGATACAGGATCCAGCCACCCTCATTCTTTAAGCACCAGTCAGCCAAGGGTGCTCAAATCAGCGACCCCAACGAAGGCCCAACGCCCTCGAACGGCGGATCGACGGAAGGAAGCCAAACCGCATCCACCCGGTGAGTTCATTGAAAGTATAGAACCTGGTACAGGTTCCCTGGTGCTTGTTTTAAATCAAATATAACAGGGATCTACAGCACATATTAAAAAGGGATCTAATATACAGAATCTACCTTGTGCTCCCTGTTTATCTACAGAACCTCACACATCAAACTGCCCTAAAGTGTAGTTCTACACGAATCTTCCACCCAACAACTCGTGTTTTTCAAGTTGTTGAACTTACCACATCTCTGCACTAGCTCTCCATCTCGTGCCTACCAAGCTGCTTCTGCCAATCTCCCAGCACTCGCACTTCAAAGTGTCCTGAAGGACGAAACCAACACCGAACCGCAAAGAAACTCGAAGCGAACATTCTCATCTCCGCGAAGCACGCACGTTGGGCAAGGAAAGGAAAGCAAAAGCGTTTTTCGCGTTCGCCCTATTAGGCCCTATTTGCATCTGCATGAGGATGGCAAGAGAAGGTCCCATCTGAAGCTCGAACTTCGGCCCCAATAAATGGACTTACCAACTTCACATTTCAGCCAAAGTCACCATTCCCCTCTTGCTCATACAAGATCGTCTGCTCGTCCGAGAAGATCTGGCGCAAACGAAACGACACGATGACAGGAGCGACCCATACGACACGACGAGCGGAGCGTTGGTCCAAACTGGGGCCCAACTGGGGACCCCAAACAATCAGTCAAACAGTCTATACAGTGGCTGTGTTATGACCGTGGTCGTCTTGGTTCTCGTTCTTCGCACTTTGGATTGGCTCAGTCTGTTTGGCATTGGGAAGACTTCTTCGTTGTGCAGCACAGTGGAGCTGAAAGCACTCCCACAACTCGCCGTGGACAACGGGCGGCGCGGACAGCGCGTGGTCCACCGACAGCGTAAGGACATGAGCACGCACGTACGAGCACGTACCAGTTTTTTTCGGCATACACCGTGTTCCAAACCAAACGCACATCGGTCGGACCAACACGTTGGATTTGGCGCGGCGCGACATCGACGAATTTCCACGCAGATCGCCGGCAAAAACGGTCAAGGAGGTTCGACCACCCCAACTCACTCAATGGATTGGTTCCAAGGTGGTCTACAAAGCAAATCTGTTCAGGACACATGAGCCTTGCTGGCCCATTTGGTTGGAGGAAAGCTTTGGGGCCAGGCGGCCACACCAAACCGGCCACTTCCGCTTTCTCGCCGCAATTTAAAACACTGACGCCTAAAAAGCGGTGGCGTGCGCGAACGCGAACTCGCGGTGAAGGTCGATGTGTTTGCACGGCGAGGCTGCACTGTCAATTGGCACGGTCAGTGTCTTCTCAGGATCTATCGCGCGCTGTTATGTTTGCTTGGCACATTGAATTGAACATACGTTTAAAAATATCCGTGCTTAGTATACAGTATGTTGTCTGTTGACACCGAAACAACATGCACTCGTACACCCACATACACACACAGCCACATGCCCCATTACTTCGCTACACGTGCACGCCCACGCACCCTCTCAAGGTACTTCAGTTGCAGTGGAAGTGATGTTGGCATACGAGGGCAAATACCTGGGCATTTGCTAGTAGGGTCTGCGATATATGCTACATCTAATATACATGATATACTATAGTGTAGACAACATATTACAATATATATATATATGTGTGTACAATATGTCAATGCCTACATCTCATGTAGGTATACATATATGGCATACATAACATACATACATACATACATACATACATACATACATACATACTGTGAGCCTAAGTAGCCTTGCCCGTAAACATGTTTCTATGTGTGTGT